ATATGTTTTAATAATTGCACTTTATATAAAAATAAGGCACACTGTAGTCAAAAACATTTTTTACCAGTACACCATTTGGTGCTCACAATAATTCATTCACTGAAGTTGGTCATGTATACACTGAGTTTAGTTATTAGCAAAGTGGCCTTGGCACTTAATCATCATTTGTCCCAAGTCTTCCAAAGAATAAGCTCCAAATACCTGCCCTAAAAGATCAGCTTTTGAATGACAACTACCTTTTCGTAAAACAGGATCAATTATGTAACTGCCACTRTGTATCTGCTGCTACTTTCTCATCTATGTGGTATTTTAGGTATTTGTGTAGCATTTTATATATAACATGGATTTTAGAAATCTTAAAAATCAACATAAGCCTAAGAAGTAAAAAGTGACATAATGTAGAAAAYTGCTATTTGAAGCTATTGCATTCTTGTATTTTTTTTTTCCTAAACATCAGTACAAAAATCTAGAATTAAAAAAAAAAAAAAGTGCTGCACTTTCTGGTAGTGTAGATATTCCCTTCCTGTTTAAATAAAGAGAAAAAAAATTAAGAACTTATTAACACAGTATGATGGGAGTCACTCTATAGGGAAAATGCCATTTTTACTCACAGATGTCAATATAGTTGTCATGAGTCACATTATGTTCATTGCAATGAGGTACAAAATAGTGGAAATTATTAGGTAGCTTAAAATGTACAAGAAGAGCAAATAAATATATTATGGAAATAAAAAATTAAGCACTAACAATAAATAAATTATGCCAACTATCCTATTTCCCAAGTGAATTCTGATGGTAAGAAATGCTGTAGTATACCAGCTACCCCAAACACATTCTTTAGTTCTCAGCAGCATCAAAATGTACTACTCAGGAGAGGACAGTCACTATTCTCTATGGAATTTACCTATAGTATGACATAAGCACCTCAAATATCTAGACATTTAATACAGATTGAGTACTTATGAATTGTTCAACTTTTAAAAACCTGTTTGTACTTTCTTAGAATTGTGTTTAATTATGCTATCTCCAAATTTGCTTCCACTGATCTAAAATGAATTCCTTTTAAGGAGTACTTGAGTTCTAGGATTTATATATTTTACCTCTTTTGATAATCTACCAATTGCATTTTTAATGGAGAAATTAAAATACATGATATATTTCAAACTGGATTTGATCAAGGCTGAATAGAATGGAATAATTACTTTATGACCCTCATATGTCATACACCTCAAGATTAGACTAAAAAACTAGCAATAGTACTGACTACTCCATTTATACCAAAGCCCTCTAAGACTGAGGGCTGCTAAGTTGTTTTTTAAAAGTCAGCTGGGGTTGTTGAGAATAACATAGTAACCAGGCACAAAGGCACATGCCTATAATCCCAGCAGCTCTGGAGGCTGAGATAGAAGGATCCTGAGTTCAAAGCAGCCTCAGCAAAAGTGAAGCAACTCAGTGAGACCCTGTCTCTAAATAAAATACAAAATAGGGATGGGGATATGGCTCAGTGGTCATGCCCCTGGGTTCAGTCCCTAGTATTACCCCCCACACACATACAAAAACAAACAAACAACAGAATAACACAATAATGCTTTGGAGAAAATGTCATTACAGAAAAAAAAAAATCAATTCATAAATTTTTTGTTTGTTTGTTTACTGGGTACCAAAGATTGAACCAAGGGGCGCTTAACCACTGAGCCACATCCCCAGGGTCTTGCTTAGTTGCTCAGGGCCTTGCTAAATTGCTAAAATTGGGTACCAAGGATTGAACCAAGGGGYGCTTAACCACTGAGCCACATCCCCAGCCCTTTTTTATTTTGAGACAGGGTCTTGCTTAGTTGCTCAGGGCCTTGCTAAATTGCTGGCTTTGATCTTGTGATCCTCCTGCCTCAGCCTCTCATGTCACTGGGATTATAGGTGTGGACCACTATGCCCAGCTTTTTAAATTTTCTRTTATGAGACAGGCTCTTGCTATAATGCCGCCATACAGGGCATAAATATGTTTTTAAAACCTGCCTGTAGGTGAAGATAAGAAAGATAACACCAAGCAAAAGCAGTTTTTCAGTTAACATTATGGTTTTCAGGCAATCTTTTCTTATCTTTTTGGGCTCCCATTCCTAGGTTGAAGCAGTCAGTACTATTCAGTTTTCCTGCCAACTTCCTTACATTAAAAGAGAAGAGATTTAGGGCTGGGGATGTGGCTCAAGTGGTAGTGTGCTCGCCTAGCGTGCGTGAGGCACTGGGTTCGATTCTTAGCACCACATAAATGTGAAATAGAGATACTGTGTCCACCTAAAACTAAAGAAATAAATATTTTTAAAAAAGAGAGAGAAGAGATCTAAACCTTATTTATTCACATACACATACACAAGTATACATATATATGCATATGATTATTAATGTTGCATTTCAAAACTTTTACTCTAATTGAAAACATCTCGACCTTGATTAACATTTTAAAAATATAACCAAACACAGAGTATGAACTAGAAAGGATATCTTTTCCCATCTCCATTGGTGCCCTGATAGACTACAACAATCATGAAGAGTCAGCCTATGGTTGATAGAGCTTATTCCTGAGAGCTAAGGACATGGCCCATGTCTCTTTTCACAAACTTTTGAAAAACCTCAGTACTGTGCTGACATCAGACACCCCTGTTTTGTCTTGCCCCTTTCATTTGCTTTCCTTTTCCTACTGGAACACAGGTCCATCCCCCTTCCTTAACTCTAGCCAGACAATGATGTCTTACAAATTCCTGGGAAGAAAAGGAAAGTGTATCTCCTCACCTGTCCAAACAAGACTCCTAGGGTATGTATATACCCATAAATTATCAGGCATAATGTGCATTTTAGTGGATAGAATATGATTCTACACCATAATTGAATCTCTACTAATCTAACACAATGAACTTTCCTTTATTATTTTTACATCTGGTAATAAATTATTTTTCTATATCAAACTAACAGTTCCTATCTTCTATCTATACTTTGGATTTACTCTCCAGGTCAGGGTTTCTTAACTTTTTTTTTGGTCATGGATGATTTTGAGAATAAAGTTAAAGTAGTGAATCCTCTCTGTAGAAAGCACAACATACATAAAACCAAAAAAATTTTGCATACAGACTTGGTTAAAAAAATTATCTGAGGCCCATCCATTAGGCCCAGGCTTAAGAACCWCTGCTTCAAGTGACTTAAGAGCCCTATTCTTGTTTCCTGATAATTTTTCTAAAAAATAGACCAATTCTTCAATTATTAAGATTCTACATGATTCCATTCATTTTTTTGATTGTTTATAAACCAAATTTCCTATATTTATTGACTAAAAAGAGGGTCAACTATAACATAATGCTCAAAAAATAGAATTTTTTTTCTTTGATTCAGTTTTTTTTTTTGGTTTGATCTGCTAGGACATCTACATATATCAATGAAGATATCATCTTCTTTTATCCAATACACATATCCAACTGCCATATAATGCTAGTTTGGGCATTAACAATGACCTTTGTTGTTAGATTATAAACTTTAAAAAGTTACTGAAGGCTACATGAAATAAAACTGTTCCTAGAGAAATTCTTCCAGGGCCTAGCACATCACCTTGTATATAAGTGCTCAATAACTTAAATAAAATGTACAACATATGTGAAATGGAGTTAGAAAAGCCCTTAAGAATTATACTTTTACATTACACATGAACTTCCTAATTGGGCAATTAAGTCACACACTAGAACAACTATAATTTCATAGTCATCTCGTACACATCAAAAACCAAACAAAAATATTTAATTTTAAGTTGAAAGTTTAAGTTTCAAACCTCCCAGCTGGATATTTATTTATTTATTTATTTGTTTAAAGAGAGAGGTGAGAGAGAGAGAGAGAGAGAGAGAGAGAAGAGAATTTTTGATATTTATTTTTCAGTTTTTGGCAGACACAATATCTTTGTCTGTATGTGGCGCTGAGGATCGAACCCGAGCCACACGCATGCAGGCGAGCGCACCACCGCCTGAGCCACATCCCCAGCCCCAGCCAGCTGGATATTTATATTTATAGAATACTGATGGTTTACACATATGAAAAAATACTACCTATTATCAATGGGTATGTAATTTGAGCAATTTTCCTCTTATTGTGAAGGATCTTTATGGCAACTGTGATTTTCCTTGGTACCCCTTCATACATTTGTAAGTTAGCTGTCATGGGTTGAAGTCCCTGACAAGGAGAGTAAAGCTAAATGAACTATAAAGTGATYAACTATATTCAGTCCTTATCAGTGCTATGCTTTGATATAAATTCCTTCACATGTTTACATGAAACTTTCCCCAAAAAAAATCTACATTAAAACATCTCAAGAAGATGGCACAGAATATTCAACAATTTTGCTGTTTATGCAAATGGCACTGGCATACCAAAATATTAAAAATGTATATCATATTAAATTAGTTTAATCATTCATAACTTCTTATATGGATTAATGATTTCAAAACAAATTTCATTCTTATCAATACATATCTACCTAACCCAAGTAATTACACATTTATACTTGATGTTYGCTCTTTCAGTTACTTTTACTCAAGAATGTCAGGCAACTGGGTATTTAAAGTGCCTTTGGAACATCGTTTTTAGAGATTTATGTCACTCAGTAAAAATAAGTACTTGAAATGATATTTTCCATATTCAAAAGCCAGTGTAGAATTTTTATTCCCTGTAAACACATACCATGCCAGCTATTTCCACAGTCCGGTTAAAAACTAAATATTAAAACATTCACAYTGTTCTGAGGTCATTCTATTGGATATATACTGAATACAAATATAGAGTTCTTATTTTTTTTAAAGAGAATGAGAGAGGAGAGAGAGAGAGAGAGAATTTTTTAATATTTATTTTTTAGTTTTCAGTGGACACAACAACTTTGTTTGTATGTGGTGCTGAGGATTGAACCCGGGCCGCATGCATGCCAGGTGAGCGCRCTACCGCTTGAGCCACATCCCCAGCCCAAGAGTTCTTACCTGTAATGGACATGTGTGACTGTTGGTTTCCTGTATCCAAGGATCCAAGTTTGAATATCTAGAGGTTCAGCTTTGGGATATGCTATGGTTGTATCTATTATCCATTGAAGGCCTTTTGATTTGTTCTCTGAGAACAAAGAAAAAAAATTACTTAAGGTTGGATCACTTTTTATATTATCTGCAGCAAATAACATGGTATCAATCACTTGAGAAGTGTAAAGTTTATTAATATAGCTTTTGCTTTAAGAAGTGAGGATGATCTTTGGTGCTACTGCTCTATAATACATGTAGGACAAAATTAAGGGTTTCTTATTGTTTTATAAAATGGATGAATTTCAAAACAAATAATTGAGTACTGTTATCTACTGCACATGCATAATTCAGGTATTCAGTACAATTATGCATTCTAAAAGTCTTATTTATATTTTATCACTTCTGTAAAAAAATTGGCCTATGAAAAGGTAAGAAGTATCACATTGCAAAAATGAAAAACAGACTGAAACAAAATCATTCACTAAATATAATTATAATGCAAACACCAAGATTTGCAATACTTGGAGATACTAATAAATATAAGAACATGGCAATAAAATTATGAATTTTTAGACATACATTATTGTCAGTTGCTGTTCTTATTAGAAACAAAGCAAAAGAACTGCAATTTTAGCAAAAGTTACATGCAAATAAAGCAATAAACTCTCCTGTCTTTTGGAAGGGACAGCAGATAACTACCGTTGAAGTGTAAGGATGGGGAAGCTCCATTTAGTTTGTCCCTTTGTACACTATTTTTATTCCCAGTATGGAGTACAAAATTGAGCAAGAATGGAGAGGGAAATCTTCAGAGAATGCTGATAGAATAGACCATTACACTTTAAAGTCTATGTTTGAAGAATCCCCAAAAAGAAAAGAAGAAAAAAATTCTCATTTTCAAGCATAAGTCCAAACATATGCATTAGAAACCAGTGGTATGTGTGTGTGTATATGCATACATATCCCTTAAATTCTTTAAATATTTTAGAACAACATTCTGAAGACAGGAAAATCTGTAAAAAAAATTTTTTTGTCAAATTTTACAAAACTTTTTGTCTAATTCTTTCAGATGCTTGAACATTTTCAAATTGAAATGATAAGAAAAAATACCAGAGTTCAGCTTAATATCTTAATCAAGCAATAAACACATATGCTAATCCTTTTAAAGTTAATCAGACAAAACTTAATTTTGATATGTGCATATGGATCACATGAGAAATGGTTTGTATTTACAGGGGATAAAAATAGTAGCAAATACACTAAGAAAAATTAAATGAAAAATACCAAACACAGAGAAGAGTAAAATACAAAAACTAGTTTACAGGTCTATTAATGATCTTTTCTAAACAGCTAGGAAAAAATGTTTTAATTAAGGTAGGATAAATAATAAATTACTTTGTTATAAACATTTCCTCTCCAAAAGAGAAACCATCTTTCTTCACTATTAGGCATCTTTCTTTGCTATTAAGTATGATAATTGGTCCTTCCTTCAAGATCTAGACAACCAGTGTTCGGACCAGGTTCACTATTTAAACAGCAATGTTACTTGTTCCAATTAATCCTGTGTGGAAGACCTTGGCCTTCCAGTTTGGGCTTGGCTGACACTGCTATAGTGTCTTTCCAGTAGTGAAGCTATTCTGAACCTAACTTTCCTATTAAAAGACTCTTTCAATTTGTCTTTTAAATAGATGATGAAAGATTAAGAGAGCAGACTGCCAAGTAGCTGCGTGGAAAAAAAAAAAAAGAAGAAAGACAAACTCAGGGCAATCTCATGGGCATTATTTCTACATCTGCTCTTTATCACCATTTAGAAACACATTTCTGAGAGTCAATCATTTCAGTTTTCAGTGTATTTAAAGAATATTAAAAGAATAGCAAACCACTAGTAGGGAAACAGACCAAGTCAATTTCTCTGAGCTTCTAAATTTATAATTTGTCACCAAATTTTTACAGTAATAGTGGCTTAGATAAACTTGCTCAAGATAGTTGTCATATTGTTGGCACAAATACCTTCTACAAAACTTCATAATCTACCAGGCTATTTCCTAGCTGACTGCATCTTTTTCTTGGCCATAAAAATAATACATACTCATTATTTAAAAATTGAAAAATACAGGAAAGGATTAAGAATTGGGGAAAATTATCCATAATGTTACAACTTAGAAAAACAATCACTGCCAACATTTGGGTATCTTTTCTTTCACACATTTCCTACTGGTAACTGATCACAGACTTGAGCTCATACTCAAGTTTCACAGAGTTGTGTGTTTCAACAGTATACCATGAGCACCTGGCTAAGCCACTATATAATGGCTGCACTGTAGTCTCCACTTATGGATATTTGATGATTACTTACCTTCTATTTCCATTTTTTTTGCTATTTTAAACAATTCTGTGATAAATTTCTTTGCCTGTACTTGAGATTATTTCATTTTCAGTGGAATAACTGAGTTATATTTATTAACACTTTAAGGGTCTTAATAAATACTGTCCAACTACATTAAATTTATTCTCTATTATTTGAATAAAAATGATAAATATATACATATTGTTTTTATAAATAGAAACATCAAAAAAAATCATAGTTTCATATTCTACCCCAGTATTAATTTTACTTGACAAAAATCACAAAAAGAACAACTATACCTTCTGGAACTCCAGAAAACCCTTTACAGGAAATGCTAAAAACCATCATACCTAATTCTTTAGCATCTCCTCCTGCTTGACTTCCATTTTCCTGTCGTGCTACAAGTACACTCAAAATAATTTTTGTTGCACCAAATCTTGGCAAAGTGACATGTGTAAGAAATGGCAAGTTATTTTTCTTGGCATATGCCTGACTTGTTTCTCGCCTCTTCCTGAGGAAGCCCCCTTCGGGAAACAAAACAATCCATTTTCGATCTCTGCTCCTATAATTATTTTCTAGGTGCTTCTTGAGAAGCAGCAGCTGTTGATCACGATGAGATTTTCCCTAGAAGGTATACACAAATAGTAAGGACAGTTACATCCAAAATGAAAATGCTGTAAGATCAAATAAAAACAATCATTTCTAAATTCAAATCCAGTCACAGAATAAAAGAGTCATTTCCCCTGACTTATTTCCCTTTATGACTCCAGTAGTAAAAAGAGAAAATTTATTAGCACTTAATAAACAAACCTTTCTTTCTGCAGGAAAAGTAACTTGCTCTGATTGCCCAGAAAGTTCAGTCATTAACCTATCCAGCAACTACAAACTAAATGCCTACTATATGCCAAGTGCTATCAGAGATTCTAAAGACAGGATTAAACAGAGAGATTATACTCTAGTTTTGGGAAAGTGGTAAATTTGGAGTGTTCACTCAATCAGAATCAGTGATATGTGTGTTTCAGCAGCTTTTGGTCACTGTGACCAAAATTCTTGACAAACACAACTCAGGGGACAGAAACTTTATTTGGAACTCATGGTTTCAGAGGCCTCAGTCCATAGACAGTCAAGTCCATCCTCTGTGCTCAAGGTGAGGCAGCACATCATGGCTGACAGGCCAGAGAGAGGAAAGCAGCTGACCTTGCAGTGGCCAGGAAGCAGAGAGAGATGGAAGGGGTTTCAGGGAAGATGAACCCTTCCAGGGCATACCCCCAGTGACCCACCTCCTCTAGCTATACCCCATCCACCTATAGTTACCACCCAGCCCATTCAAACTAGGATGGACTGATCAGGTTACAGCTCTCACAACACAATTTCTCACCTCCAAGCATTCCTACATTAACACAGGAGATTTTTGGGGTCACCTCTAATCCAAACCATAACAATGTGTTAGGAAGAAAAGATTAAGAGGCTAGAAAAAAATCAAGAAGGTCAGGGAAAGCTGCTTTGGGGAGGTATCATTTAAGCAAAGAGCTGTTAATGGGAGGGAATAAGCCGCATGAAGAGGAAGTATATACCAAGGAATGAGAACAAAAAGCACAAAGATCTGGATAGGGACAAGCTCAGGATGTTCAAAGAACAGTACCAAAGCTGGTATGACTGAAAAGATGAATGAGGTAGTCAGTGGCAGGAGATGAAACTGCAGAGGGAGGTGGAGACCAAGTGAAAAGGGCCTTATGCATAGCTAGGTAGTTTAAGATGTGAATTCACTGGATTTTAAATGAGGCAGTGTTATAATCTTATTTAGATTTGAAAAAAAATCTGCTGGCTCCTGTGACACAAAGACTACAAGAAATAAGTTAGGAGACTACTGTAAAGGTTCCTGCAAGGGAGCTTCAAAGGATTCAACTCAGGGGTATTCATGAGAAGTGGGTACATACAGGGAATAAAATGTTGAAAGCAAAGTTACTAGGATTTTCTGATATATCTGATTTCAGTTGTGAGGGAAACAAAGGAACATGGATGACTTGAAGACTGAAAACAGGAATCCAGAAAAACTTATAAGGCGACCCAAAACCTACAACTAAATATCACAAAGGGTCTTTCAGAATGATCAATTTGCTAATTTCCAGGCAACATAATTACAGAAGCTCCTTAAAATAATTAGTACACTTTCAGGCCAGGTGCCATGGCACACATCTGTAATCCCAGCAACTAGGGAGGCTAAGGAAGGAGGACCACAAGTTTGAGTCCAGTCTCAGCAACTTAGCAAGACTCCATCTTAAAATAAAATATAAAAAGGGATGGGGATGTAGCTCAGTGGTAAAGTGCCATTGGGTTCAATCACCAGGACAAATAATAACAACAACAAAAACAATAATAACAACAAGGACAACAACACATTCAGTCTTTAAATTAAACATATCCCAAATGCAAAACAAGGAAGAAATGTTCTTAGTTTACTAAACTAAATTGATTATGATTGAAATAGCTTAAGTTCCCAAGATTACTTATAAAATATTTTTACTATTCTTGGGAAATCTTGTCAAAAATTATCTCATAGCAAAGCCCCAAAGATTTAAAAAAAAATTAATACTTTTTCTATTCCAATTCTCCTTCCATGTTACAAATTTTCATTACTAATCTATAGGGAAAAAATGTTGCTCTTTAGAAATGGATTTGGCAATTTCCCACATACTGTGAAATGTAGTTTTATATATACAAACTTCATATTGCAATAGCCACAAAAATAGTTTGGTGTACATAATTTTTTATTTTTAATTCTCTTGAATTACACTGATAATTTAGCACTTTCTTGATGTTTAAGGATCATGATCACTAAGATCAACTGTTATACTACACTATAAGTCAATAATTTCCTCAGACCCCATGTTGTAAGAGGCTTGGCTACTTTTTCCACTAGACCCCCTAGACTGCAAAGCTTTCTGTCAGTCCTACTACCTTCTCTGAGATATTAGTCTTAGGTTTTTTGTTGTGGTTACTGTTTACTTTGTCCTGACCTCCTGACCAATCTCCACTACCACCTCTTCGTGAAGTTCCAGTCCACACTTTCATCTGTCTTTGCTCAGAAGAACCATGGTAAGCACTAGGTAATTGGACATCATGTGAAAATAACAGGTTCTGTACATAAAACTGTATGGAGTAAAATGGATGTGTTTTATAACACTTTTCACAGAGCTTAAAAGTTTTCTACTCATTTCCAGTTTATTTCTGCATTTGTGCTTCATAGAAGAGGCTTCATTTGATTCCTGAGTTATTCATTAAGTATTTATGTGCAGAGCACTGCATAATCCAGATTWAAATGCTCATTATAGAAACAATAAGTAAGTGTTCCATTAGCACACATGAAAACTCTTACATATCACATCTAGGTTTTCCACTTTTGAGAAAATCAGGTTTATAATACTAGTACCATACCAGGGAAATATAATGTAACACTGACTGAATAAAATGTTATGATTCTTTCTACTGCACTAAACTATTCCTCATGCTTGGGATCTTCCTCAATCCATGTTTGTCCATCAAAATCCATAACAATTCTTTAAAATTTATGCCAAATATCATTTTATCCTCTCAAGTTTTTCTGAGTTCACAGAAAAAATCTGATACTCATTTCCCTAAAACAAATWCCCAAAATATTTCTGATGATGATGATGACAACAATTATGAAGATGTAATAATCTCCCTACTGGTAATTAAGATATCTTCTATATCATATAACAGGCCCTTATAGATCAAAATTATAGTGATAATAAAGATGATGATAGTGGTAAACATGATAAGGGCAGCAAGCACTGTTCCGAGTGTTTTACCTACATTACTTCATTTAATCCCCACAATAACTATCTGGGGTGTTACTATATTATCTTCATTTGAAAAATAAGGGAACTTTGAGCTGGTTAAGTAATTTTCCCAATTCATATAACTAAGAAGCTGAAGAGCAGGGAATATAATGAACGTTTGATAAATGTTTATTAAACTGAATTGTATCCTCTATATGGAAGGGTAGTAGAGGTTAAAATATTTGCATTGTAAGTATCTTATTACTCAGGCACACTCAAATTCACATTAAAGTAAATGTTTATGGAAGAAAGACCTAGAGGAAGGACTCCCTGAAACACTAGAACTGACTACCTATTATAGTTGGCTTTCTTATGTACCTTTTCATAATGAAGAATCAGTCTGACCAGACTATTCATTCAGACTTTTATCGTGGGGAAGAAATGTTCATCACTTACCTGCCTTATAAAGAAGTCTCCATGAATTAGAGAAACAATTCCAAAGTTGGTGTACTTAAAAATATGATCCATCAACCATATTAACTGAGCAACAGCCTAAAATATTTAAAARCAAGAGATAATTAAATATTGTATAGAAGTAACCAGACTATAATCTTGCCAAGGCTTCAAATTTTAAACATAGTCATCCAAGCATTAAGTATTCTTAATTAACCTAAATATTTTAAATCTAATGCTCTTTCTACAAATATAACATAGGTACTAATAAAGTCTACATGAAAAATCGCAGATCTTGATTCCAAGGGTTGGAATCTTAAGTACTAGGTAGAAAACTAGAATATGAGTATATATACACATAAATACATATCACTGTATAACAAATGAAYCCAAATTAATTAATTTTTTTGATTTGGACTTAATGATTTCAAATTTGTTTTACCTTAAACAAGGTCCCTGACAATTTTTATCTTATAAAATTATATTAAATCAATAAAATAAAATTGTTAAAGTTAAATGAAGGCCATACATTTAATTAATAAGTACTAAAGATTTATAAATGTGAGTGTACCTTAATGGTTAGAATATTAAAAGCTAATGTTTAAAATAAGAGAACATTTAAAAATATCTTAATAAAATAATTTTTACATTCTATTATGTTATAAAGAATATTTGTTAGTTTATACAAGGTCATACTCTTTGTCAACATAAAACTATTTGAAATGCTTCAATAATTTGTGATGTCTTAATCACAAAATATTCTCTRTTGTTTATGTGAGTTAATTCCCATACTGAGAGCGGATGACTTCAAGTAAATTTAAAAATTAAAAGTATAAACAGGATCTAATTAATTAATTTGTTAATTTYTTTCCTACTGAGGAAATAGATTTTCTTTTTATAAACTTTAAATAAAGTGAAAGTTACTACCTCAGAGTAGAATGCAATGAGCTTTACTTTGGTCTCTTATGGGAATAATAAATGTAAACACTAAAAAACCAAATTATGTAACTCTCATAAGGAAAAAACTGAACATTGACACTCATGTGCTGCTTTTATAAAGCATCATAAAATCCCACAGACAACATAATGTAACAACAGCTCTGCCTTATTTTTTCAGTGAAATAACTACTCCATCAGCTTTATTGTATTAAATTACTTTAAACATGTTTTTAATTTAAGAAAAAGAAAGATTTGTGCCCAGTGAAGAACTGAGTCACCATGTCAATTAATACAGAGTAAAATAAACACCAGTATCTCATTATTCATTTTTGTTTTGCTTTGCAATGATAACTACTTTGTTTAAATAAATCCAATTTAACTAAATGAAATTTGTTGAAAAGTGTCCCAAGTAAAAAACAAAAAACAAGAAGTAACTGGATAGAACCTATAAAACATTTTAACTATACACAGTATTTATGAAGTGTCTACAATTTAAGTGGCTTAAAATACCAAAATTATTTTTCTTGTTTAATCTTTCATTTATAGTGGATTCACCTTTTCAGTCAGTTTGAATTATTTCCCCTAAAATAAACTAGGACAGAATTACACATACAAATCTCACATTCATTATACCTATCTTACTGAATTTGTTATTTGTTTTAGGTGACCCTTCTAACTGAAGCAATGTAAAACATGGCCTTAGTAACACTGGATAAAGTAAGCATAATATCTTACCTCCCAATGGACTTTGTAAATAAAATCCAAAGTAATAATGACCTTATTTTCTTCTGGCTAAAGATCCCCAAGAACACCTAATTAACTGGCTAATTTTACTCTCCTCTCTTCTTTTCGTATTTGTACTTCTCAAACTGGCAATCCACCAATCCACTTCAAGACAGTCCTTAATTTGAATTTTATCAGCTTTGCTTTCACCCCACTTAGTATTTTTTAAAACAGTTTAAAGAGATATAATTCACATTATCCCAGTTTTGTGTGTGTGTGTGTGTGTGTGTGTGTGTGTGTGTCTCTCTCTCTCCATCTCTAAATTCTCCTCCTGGAGTAGCTTATTATTATTTTTTAATATTTTCTAAATTTTCAGGAAAAGTATACATGTTAAGTTAAAGTCTGTAAGACACTTAAATTGATTCTTTCTTGCATTCCCTTCTGGATATCCACCTATTGCCTTCAGAATGGCTTACCCGTCCTTTGTCCTGTAGGCACATCATCAGTGTGCACACATCTCCTGTTGCCTGATGGTTTACCAACATCATAGCTTCRTCTTCTGAAATTGCTTTAATATCTTCCCCCCATTCCATCACTGTAAGAATAAAGAGTTTCAAAGTTTTGTTTTAAATATTTTTACATGACTAGGCATTTTCCATCACAAAAAAATGGTATATATTATTATATGTCACCTAGCTAAAATGTTCGAAAATTTAGAACCAAGTTCATTTTCTATAAAAATCAGAAAGTTAATATAACATTTCTACAATCCCAAACTATCCATTAATATAAAATGGTCATATCTCTGATCTAGAAGTTCTATTTCCTAAAATTTATCCAAATAGGGGGCTGGGGATGTGGCTCAGGCGGTGGCGTGCTCACCTGGCATGCGTGCAGCCCGGGTTCGAGCCTCAGCACTGCATGCAGGTGGGGATGTTGGGTCCGCCGAAAACTAAAAAATAAATATTAAAAATTCTCTCTCTCTTAAAAAAAAAAAGAATCCAAATAGGATTGTTCAAATAGGCAAAGATGTACATATAAAGGATGTTTATTACAGTTTAAATGTTTACCAACTGGAAAATGGACAAAAAAATATGATAAAACTAAGGTGTATAAGTGTATTAAAAGAGTGAAGGGTATTATAATCTCCATAAAATCATATTACTGACTATGATATTATGATATATATATTTTAGTTTCTGTCTAAGGTTCCTGGCTTATAACTTCCTCCCCAAGGCAGGCCATAGAAACTAGAATTTCTCTTTTCTACAGTGGTCATAGAAACTCTAACCTTCTCCACCTTTCTCTGACTACCTTTGTCTGACAATAGATGATAAGACTCCCATTTCAGAAGGGGTCTTGACCAATACCAGCAAGGAAGAAATGCTGAGGCCTTGCGGGTTTCCCCTCTATCAGCATTAGATATGCAATGAAGTCTCCACAAAAACCCACAAGGACAGGGTTCAGAGAGCTGAACACATGGAGGCTCACAGAGGACAGCACTCTCTTGAGAGCATGGAAACTGTGCTTCTTTCCTCATACCTTGCCCTCTGCACTTCATGTCTTTCGAACTAGCCTTTATAATAAACTGGTACATGTTTCTCTGAATTTATTTTAGCAAATTAATCAAACACTGGAAGAGGGGTCCGGGAACCCTGATTTACAGCTGTCAATTRGTAAAACAACCTGAGACTTGTAACTGGAATTTAAAATTGGAGGAGGTGGGCGGTTTTAGGGACCGAGTCCTCAATCTGTGGGATCTGATGCTATCTCCAGGTAGGCGGTATTTGAACTGACTTGGATTAAAGGATTCCCAGCTGGTGTCTGCTGCAGAACTGCTTGCTTGATGAATGGGGGGAAAAACTTCACAATACTGTCAAAAGCAATCAGTGTTGTGAGAGTATCTGAGGAGGAAATGAACTAGAGTTGTTTTACTTATTTTTTATTTTTTTTAAGAGAGAGAGAGAGAGAGAGAGAGAATTTTTAAATATTTATTTTAGTTTTCAGTGGACACAACATCTTTATTTTTATTTTATTTTTTTATGTGGTGCTGAGGATCGAACCCAGTGCCATGCGCATGCCAGGTGAGCGCGATACCGCTTGAGCCACATCCCCAGCCCAAGTTGTTTTATTTTTATGCGATGCTGGGGACTGAACTCAGAGCTTCAAGCAGGGTAGGAAAGTGCTCTACCTCTGAGCTATACCCTCAGACCCTGAACTTGAATAGGCACACTGCAAAAAAGTAGATACTGCACATTTTGTCTTTTTAAAGAAGGAATAAAATTTGTGTTAATTCAATGCACTGAAAAAAGTCTGGGAATGAATCATCATTAGGAGGTGGTTCTCAGACCCTGCAAATCCCATTATATGTGTAAAAAATTTCGAACAATGTAAAACTATGAATTTCCACTTTACAGTAAGAAAACAAAAAATAAATAAATAAGTTAAATTTACATAAAATCTCCAGATGAACAGTCACTGTACCAAAACCTGTATATGTATTCTAAGGAAGAGAGTGCTTTCTCTGGAGTTACGCCTTACTTTACAGTAAATTTACTTCATAGGAAAAATGAAATAGAGCTTCAGCTTTCAAACATGACAATCTTAACAAAGAAGCTTCTAGGGTTCCTCAAATGCCTGACATGAATCACCAGAAGCTGATTATACATTAGCATTTACTTTTATCTTATCCTCATCTCTCTCACCTCTATTAGGAGAGAAGTTGAGTCTCCTATGTGGAATATTTCTGGATGAAATAGGGATGGGAGCCCTGTGGGGAGCACCTTCCCCACATTCCAACCTCCTTCCCCACTCACCCCTGTCACCCCAATATACTATAGCTCCCCATAATATAGTGGAGCTTTTTATAAGAGTTCATTTGAGAAAGGTTCTGCTAATTTTTTCTTTCTACTGAAATCCATTTAGTTATTCACATTAAAAATCTTAAAATTCTGTCCTAAGAAAATTTTCAGCATAGCTGAACATACATTAAGTTGTGGTAACTACCTGCAAAATAAGGCATTGTAATCATTCTATTAGATGTTATTACTCATATCCAAATAGCTTATAGGATCTATGAAAAATGCTTTTAAGATTTTTAAGTGAATACAGCTTGGAAATGATGTGAATGGATGATGCCAAATGTTCCTTTGGAATAAAGGTAGAAACACTGTTGAAGAGCCCAGCTTCTTGAAAACTGTGACAGTGACAGCACTAATTCTTCAGGGCACTTCCTTTCCCAAGTTCCCAATTTGGTTCAGATGACAAGCTAACTTCACTGAAACATATTTAAACTGCTGATACATTGCTGTGGGAAGTAGAAATTGGTACACTTTCATTTTGTAGTGTCAATTTGGCACATTTTCAAAATTAACAATGCACAAATCTTTTTACCCAGCAGTTCTACTCTTTTAGAAATTCATTCTACAGATATGCTCATTTATATGCAAAATGACACGTATGCAAAGCTATTTACTGCAGCATTATTTGCAAAAGCAAAGATGAAAATAACTAAAAAGGGAAACCAACTTAAATTCACAGAAACAGAAAGTAGAATAATGGTTTCCAGGGGCTGGGGGAGGGAAAATTGTTGTTTAATGAGTACATTCATTCCTCCTTATCTGCAGTAGATAGGTTCCAAGAGCCCATAAGGACACCAAAATATGTGTTCAAATCCCTTATAAAAAGTGACACAGATGGCTAGGGATATGACTCAGTTGGTAGAGTGCTTGCCTAGCATGCATAGTGCCTGGGTTCAATCCTCAGCACGACCAAAAAAAAAAAAAAGTTTCACAGTATCTGCATATAACCTACCTACGTACTCTTAAATTATTTCTAGATTACTTATAATACCTGATGCAATGTGAATGCTATATAAACAGTTGTTAGACTAAATTATTTAGGGAATAATTACAAGAAAAAAGTCTACATGTTCAGTACACATGCAATTGTTTTTCAAACATGTTTGACAAACGGTTGGTTGAATCCACAAATGTGGAAACCACAGATACAGAGGGCCAATTGTACAGAGTTTCAGATTTGAAAACAATAATATGAATACACTTAATAAAGACGTATACTCTTAAAAAATGGTTAAGGTTTATTTTATATATATTTTACCACAATTAGAAAAATTTTAAAGGTAGACTAGCTAAAATAAAATCCATGCAATGGACTACTATGCAAACATAGTATTTATGTTCTAATATGGAATAATATAATAAAAGCAAAATGTACAATAGTGTGAAGGACACCACCAACTTTGCTTTTAAAAAGGAGGGAGAACATATTTACTAAATGAAAAACTCCTCATATCATGGTCTGTTGACAACCCTTCAACAGAGACAGACACAGACAGATACACACACACTGTATTTCACTAATTATTCACTCAGTAAGTCATAATCAGGTGTTGTGGCTATAAAATAAGAACATTACAAGTGTTTTCTAAAGTGAATAGCAATTTTTTAAAAAGAAAAAAAGAAAGGCTAGTCTTATAAGGGAGAAAGCAGTGTGAAGACAGGCAGARTTTGGAGTGGTACAACTATAAGTCAAGTGACACCAAGAAGAGTGGGCAATCATCGGAAAACTAGGAAGAGGCAAGGAAAGATCTTCCCTGGATCCTTCAGAGAGAACATACCCTGCTGACATCTTAATTTCATACTTCCAGCCTACAGAACTGTGAAGAATAAATTTTCTCTTCTTGTGTGCTACCAAGTTTTTGGTACTTTATAATGGCAGTCTTAAGAAATTAATAGGGCTGGGGATTTAGCTCAGTTGGTAGAGTGTTTGCCTTGCATGCTCAAGGCCCTGGGTTCAATTCCCAGCACCACAAAAAAAAAAGAAAAAGAAATTAATACCCCCAACCTTCCCCAATCTCTATCACCCCTTTCCATTCTATCTCTCCCCAAATTATAGACTTTTTTCCTTATCAAGAATAGACAAAGAATGGCATTATACTTTTTTTTGGGGGGGGGGTAACCAGAAAATTGGACCCAAGAGCATTTAACCACTAAGCCACATCCCCATCCCTTTTTAKTTTTTTTATTTTGAGAAAGGGTCTTACCACATTGTTTAGGGCCTCACTAAGTTGCTGAGTCTGACTTTGAACTTGCAATTCTCCTGCCTCAACCTCCAGGGCTGCTGGGATYACAGTTATGTGCCACCTTGCCCAGCAACTTTGAACATTTAGAATACTTTAATAGATTTCTTATATTATGTATGTAAATGGTCCTCACTGTTCATTTTTAAATACYTTCAAAGTATAATAGTAAGAGTTGATCCAACATATTTTATCTTTCAACTAGAACTTAGTCAAGCCTTACTTTCAGACTAAATGTCAATTTACCAAGACTCATACACTATACAAAATCAAAAAAGTGAAGGTGGCTAGATCAACATTTTATTAAGAAATTATCCTAACCAAGCATAAAGTCATGTTGAATTTTATAAAAYTTTATTTGACAAGTTTAATTTCTAATATATGTGGTATTCTTTTAGAGCATAACATACTTAAATCAAGATTAAAAATGCTCAAAGAGAAAAAACTATTGTATATATGAAGTAGTTCTGATTCTCAGATTATATTCTGGTATC